CCCCAAAACCCCAAAACCCCAAAACCCCAAAACCCCAAAACCCCAAAACCCCAGATTATTTTATAATATTGAAATTGATGAATAATTATGCTTTACCCATGGAGGAAATCAAGAAGAGCGAAGGGGAGAAAAGCAGCATAGATATAGGTTTTGAAGATATTATATAACTCTGCTTAAGAAGTTTCCAGTTGATAGATCACCAACAGATTTAGATATCTTATACAACTATTTTAATGCAAAGACCGGTACTAGAAAGTAAGATTAAAATATTTACAATTTATTAGGCCGATTCAGTTCTTTGAGAAATGAAAAGAAGAAAATGGGGAAGCTACAGTCAGGATGTTGTGAGAGGTTCTACATTACCAAAAATAACAATATTAACGAGAGAGTCATTAATTTTGGAGAGATCGGATCAAAGTTTTACATAAATCTTAAAGGAGAAGTAAGTCCCTAATTTCACCTTGATTAGGTCGCTGTACGAGTGCCTGCATTGATCCAGAAGGCAGGGACTCTAATGCAAATAATAGAGTTTATTGTAACTGAATACGAGTGGATCACCGATAATGAGATGTTTCAACGCTGCCTTGCTGAGATCAACAGATATTACCCTTACATCGTTATAAGAAATAAGAATGAAAGACTTTGCCTAAACATGAGGCTGTGAAAATAAGATATTCGACCCTAGAAGAGACAAGGAGGTACTGTCCCCAACTTTTGTTCTATCATTTCTCAATCTTGGTGGTGTTTAAGACACTTTACTTATCTTTGTCCCTAATAGTAAAAATAAAACATGATTTGTAGTTTTCAGTGGAGAATTAGAATCTTCAGGAGTTTGCAAAATATGGGGAAATTTCTTAAACCAAACATTGCTGTATTGCAAGCATGCTTTCTCTGGGTTCCTTGTAGTTCATCTTCTTGAATATCAGCATCATTCCAAGTTTTTCTAACTTCTAAGTTATTTGAACAATACTGATCTTTTAGGGGAAATATCAAAGATATTACGACAGAATCCCTGAGTTTGAAGCAGATGACTTCGGCAGAAAAGAGAAGGAGTACAGATTCGATTGTCTAGTTGATGTAGTTCATCTAAAGGAAGGAGGGTCCTTTGGAGAACTCGCCCTTATCAACAACACTCCTCGGTCAGCTACTATCTGTACTGTAACTGAGTGCCACTTCGCTACAATACAGAAAGATGATTTCAAGCTTACACTTGGGAAAGTAATGAGGAAATAAATTTGTGAAAATGATTAAATTCATGGAAAATTTCTCAATCCTCAGCCAACTCTCAAGACTTGCTCTTGAGAAATTCGCTCTGTATTTTTCCAAATATGAGGTGAAGCGCGGTAAACAGATCATGGTAGAGCAAGAAGATGCTAGTTATGTATGCTTTATAGAAGAGGGAGAATTTGAAATATCAAAAACTGTATTATTCGAAAAAGGTAACTTAGAATACATCCCTTCTTTTAAATCTCTCGATAAACCAGAATATTCAATACCCCTACTTTAGACAAGATCAAGAAAGGAATTGAAGAGCATACCGATAGGTATCGAGCTGATTTTCTAAGGTATATCACCCCAGAATTTCCTGAGAAGCTCGAACATCTGATCAACCAGCAGACAGGGATCTTGTTCTCAAGTGAAAATGATGAGCTGGGTCGGTTCAAGAAAAATAGCAGATGCTTTAAGAAAGAAAGGACTGAAAAAATTTCTATTATTGGCAAGAATGAAACTACTGGTATTGTCGAAGTCCTTCTTGGCTGTCCTTATTATGCCTGTACTGTGACATGCATCTCTGGAACTGGAATTTATCACAAGGTTAATAAAGAAGATCTTTTCCGTAAAATTGACCCGCTCAATCCGAATTTATTACAGCTAGTCAAGCAAAAATTGATCCTCATGAGTAAGATTCTATCGAGCTTATTTTAGGCAAAACCACTTCAAAATTTCTGGGTGTTCAAAGGACCTTACAACAAGATTTCAAGTATTCTGCTATTCTTAACATTTAGTGCTTCGCAAGAGGACATTTCTCCTCAGCACACTAGCCCAGTTCAGGCAGATGAGCTCAAAAAGCTATTCAAGTACAAAGGTAAGCCCTGGTTTAAATTCTAGAAATCTTCATTGAGCCGAAGAAAGAGCTTTCTCAGTCAAGAAAGCTAAAGAAGTCCAAGAATGCTGTACATTTTAACTGATTTTTAGAATTCTAATTAAAGAAATTGATAACCTAGAGATTGAAGCTTTATTAGCCAATCAGAAGAGTAAGGGTAAGAAGAGGCGACTGTTGTCTATTAGTCGAGCTTTGCAGGATACTAACCAACTCAAGAAGAACCTTGAGCGGTCTTATTTCTTATCTAAAGCCCATACAACTAAGAATAAGGAAGTTAAGGCATACTCTAAGTTTAAGAAGCAAAATTTTATGGTTCCAAACGCATCTCCCGTTCAGGATTCTGTCAAGAAAGCTACTAGGTCAAGTAAATTTAACAGCAATCTCAAAATTGGTAAACTTCTGAAATATACTGGTGTTGATGCTAACAGAATGAAAAAGGCTTCACCCCTTGAAAGCCTTCATCCAAACATAGGAAATTCTAACAAGCAGAGCAATCCTGGCACGCCTTCTGAGCGTTCTGGAACAGTATCTTATGCTAAATAAAGACGAAATTCGGGAGTATTTTACAAGTTTAAAAGCTATAGATCAAAAGGAAAAGTTTACAGTCTCCCTTTTAGAATAATTCCGAATCTTCCAGGGAGGTGTTCCACTTTAGATACTAGAAACCCTGATTCCTCCTTCAGAAACTATGCAAAAAGGAGGAAATCAGATAACGGTATTCCCATTGGGGCCACTTTCAAATATTGCTCTGCCTTAAAGACTCTAAATTATTCTGAAAATAACCCCAATGAGATAATGCAGAACTTAATGATCAGTCCGAAAGCTGTCTTTCCTAACCCTCATGAGTAAATTCAGAGCTTAATTTTCTAGATATGGCAACTATCCGGCACAGAAGAGTAAGCCTAGAATCTAAATTTTAGCCGATTCTAACAGAAAAAGCCTTAAAAATTTAGACCTAGCAGCTATAGACGACAGGTTCGGCTTCTTGGAGTCAACTGAAGTTGCCCAGAGCCAGGAATCTCAGCCACAGAGTATAGTAAACGCTCTGGTAAGGTAATAGATTAACTAAGTAGAACCAGAGGAAGCTATCCATCGACCAAGCCCGTTTGAAGTACCAAAAGCAGTCTTATATGTAGGAATGCTAATAAAAATTATCACAAATATTTCAGAGATTTCGTGACTATGGAGCAAGGTATGCTCTTAATAAATTTGTAGCAATGCATGAACACAAGAACAAGGCTTTTCATCCAATGCCAAAGAAAAATTCTCAGAGATTTAAACCTCAAAAATCGCCGAGAAAGATGTTAAAATTACCTCAAAATGCTTATAATTCAAAGGTATTAAGTCAAGAGTAAGTTTACCATAATTTCTGTATAGTTTGACCCCGACAGTCACTGCTTTAAAGTCACAAGAGCTGTTCAATATTATCGGTTTTAAGAATGGACTGAAAAATGGCAAAAGGACAGCACAGTTTTGAAGAAGAATGTCTAGTGATACGAAAAATGAGACTATTTTTTCTAAGAGAAGACAATCAACTTAGATTATTTTAGTATCAAAAGAAGAGACATGATAGATTAAAAGAAAATCATAGTAAAAATAAACTCAAAATTAATTTCAACATCAAAAATCTCTCATGGGGTTTTGGGGTTTTGGGGTTTTGGGGTTTTGGGG